CGAGTCCCATGAAAAAATAAATTACAACTCAATCGAATCGAATAAATAAATAATTACAATAATTATATTCTTCCGTTACATCAACGGGTCTTCGATTCTTGAGTTCTTTATTCTTCGGCTTCATTCTTTGTCTTCGGGTTGGATTTCACCTTCCTTGGGGTCTAGAACTTTTCCGGGTCTGTCGGCACGCAATACGAGGGTTTTGAAAACCTTCGTGGCCTTTTGGGATCAAATCCCAAAACTAGGCCGCTAGCCGCGCTGGGCCGCGCGCGCGGCACCGCGCGCTGGGGCGCGCTATGGCCGCGCTGGGGCGCGCGCTTTTGCCGATTTCTGGAAATTTTCTGGGCAGTTTTCTGAGTTTCTTTAAAGGCTTCAAACTTGATCTTCAAGGCCTCCCTTTTGATTCAAAATCAAAAACCCTAATTCTACCCAAAACTTAGAATTACAATAATTCTAATCCCGAATAAAATTACAAATAATTTAATCAATGAATAAATATAACCGATCTATGGAACGATATAATTAACGACCAAATCTACCATCCATACATTCATCAACATGAATAAAAATAAACATCCATAAATGCAAGTGCCTACCCATCACATACATACATAATTAAATATCACATATTTAATATATCAATTCTGATTATCAAATAATCGAAGCATAAATTAATATCGTCTATAGACCGCTCTGTTTTTTCTTTCAACACAGCTAAAAGCATTGTTTCTAAAATTCACAGTACTACCAAACTAAACCTTCGTCTTCTTATTACAAATATATGAGAGAAAATAGATAGGACGTTGAGATTGTTTCTTGTGAGGCGAAGCAGTACGAGAACATTTCATAAATATAATTTTTGTGTGTGTGTATAATATGTTATTAAATACCTTAATATAACTTTGATTCTTTCATAAAAAAAAAATAACTTTGATTCTTTAACGGAACAAATGAAAGTTAAATAATAATAATTTTTATTTAATTAATATATTCCTAAACTAAATAATAGTTATTGGCGTTTAAATCATGTGTTTTTCTTTCTTTATTTTTTATTTGAAATTGTGTGAGTTTATTTGGTTCCTTTACTAACTCTACTGTTTTTAAACTATAAATTAAGGGTTCATTTAGAAAATGTATTTGAACCATGATTTGAATTTTGATTTAAAATTATTTATAAAATAACTATTAGCGAGAATTCTTTTGATTCAAATTCTTTATGAAAAAAAAAATATTGTAGCAAAATCATGTTTTGAGTTTTAAGTATATGTACTAAATAAACCCTAATTGAGTGTTCTTTCTTAAAAAAATATATTGTTAATTTTGTTGTCACATTTATTTTAGTTCTTAAAAATAAATATCACCTGCATGTTAAATAATTTTTTTAATTTAGTAAAATTCATAATCCTCTTATAAAAAACAAAAAAATAAAGCTTACAAATAGTCCTTAAACTTTATTGTAAATTCACTTTAGTTCATAATTTTTAAAATGACATAAACTTAATAATCGATTTGTAAGTTTTTTAGTTTTAATCTTTTTTTCCAATTGAGCGTTAAAAAATAATGAAACATGCACGTCATGCCGACTAGAAATAGTATTTTACTAAAGGTACGTTATGACACGTAAAATGTAAAAAAAAAACGCTAATTGAATGCCATTTATATTTTATTTGTTTTTAATAATAAAAATGGACTAAAACTGAAATAAACTTATAAGTTGAAGATTAAGTTTGATATATTTATTTGTGTTTTATAAGAACTAAAGCTGAATTGTTAGTAAAATTCAAGAACTCTTATAAAAAGTAAAGTTTAAGAACCATTTATGGTATCTTTAATCTTTTAACACATATAAAAGAGCTAAAAGCTTCTCCTTCCCTTTGACGAGTAGTGATATAAGGAGGCTTTATAAGGAGGCTTCTCATTCTTTTGACACATAACATCTTTTTTTTCTTGTTTTTAAACATTTTTCTCATTTCTTTTTTTTTCTATTATTTTTTTTCAAAAATTCTTTTACAGTTTAATTTTTTGTACAATGTGTTTTTTTTAAATATTATTTTCTTGTTTTGCACTTATTAAAATAATTTTTTTAAACATATCCTATTCATTTACAAAAAAAAAAAAAATTGTTTTATGTATTTTTCGAAACATTTTTTCTTCTTTTACAAATGTGTCTATACTTTTTTTAAAGTAATACTTTAATTTTTCATGTATACTTATTTTACGTAAAGTGATCATTGTAATTTTTTTTTTCTAATTATCCCCCTAACACAATTTTGTCTCAAATTTGTTTCTTTTAAGCAATTTTCTCACCCAAATAAAAGCCTCAAACTGCAATTAATTCTACTTCCTCCATGCGATCAATGTTTTGTTTCTGATTTTTTCGTCCTTTTCTTATATTTTTTTCCATTTATTCGTTTTGTAATTTTTCTTTTCATTTGTCTCGACTGAAATAATTTTTCACAAATGCATCCTTATTTAAATAGGAATAGCTAATGTGTCTTCTATTATTTTATAATTTCAACCAAAATAATGCTTATTTTGATCAAAATTAAAAATATTTTTTTATTCTCTAATTTACTCCACTAAAAAGCTCTTAAAGATAATTTAACAAAATTTTAGATCTTCATATCTAAAAGAATGTATAAAACCACTATAAAATAATATTATTGGGACTAAGAAAAAATATTATTTTGACGTGATTATTAATTTATCAATAAATGAATAATTTATTGATTTATTGGTAAATAAATATTTATTAATTTAAGAAGAGTTTTATATTTTAATAATATGTGTCATTTTAGTACATGTATTATTCTTTTGACTAAATTCACGTATGAGTTATAAATAAATTAAAAAAAAGTAGATGTAGTCAAAATTAATATGTTTATATAAAGAATTTTAAAAGTTATCATATATATAATAAATGTTATGTATATGTACATAGAAGTCTAAAAATTAATGTAAGTACATTGTATGTAGAATGGTGATAAATATATTCATAGACATAAAAAAAGTTCTCTGTATGATGAACTCTATATGTTATTTATTATTATTTTTTGTATTTGATTAATTATTAATTTATATTTTTATTGGACTCTAAAAGAATTTTAAAAAAATTATTATTTTATGTATTTAACAAGATTATTAATTTAATATATTGACTCAAATTAGAACTAAAATATTTAATTATTTAATTGAAATTATTAATTTACGGAGCAATTATTGAGGTTTTACTGTACCGGCGCACTTTTTAACTGCATATAACCGAAAAAGAAGGAAAAGAAAAAGGGAAAAAAACGTAAAATTCGTAAACGACTTACCACATTGAAGATAAGTGAAAATAAACGACGTCATTTTGTCTGATGGGCATGTTGTTAGGATATCTCACCCACTAAACGGCAAAAACACATATCGCCTTATAAAATAACGAATCCTACCCACCAAGGAATTCAAAACCCTAAAAAAATTATCGAATCGCTCCCTTTCTGAGCTCTCAGTGCGATCCCCAAATTCGTGGCAGGGAAGTTCTCATTCGCCTTTCTCGAACCCTAGAAACCCCCATGGCTATTCTCTGTTCCTTTTGGTTGCTAAGAAAGTGACACTTTTTGAGTTTTCAATTATATCCATCGCCTTGACGTTGTAAAGTTAACGATTTCAAATTCTTGTTGGATAGACTTTGTTTACCCTCTTGGATTAGTCGATTTGGTTATGGTTCCTAAATTGTGAAAGATTCGAGATTTCTTTCGTTCGAATTTGTTTTATACTGCATATGAGATTTTTTTGGGTTATTTATTGTAAAGTCAAGCGTTTGATTGTCAATTTTGTCTTTCTTTGTTCTTTAGGTAAAAATGAGTAGCCGTGCGAGCAGAACCCTCTACGTTGGGAATCTTCCCGGTGATATTCGTGAGAGGGAAGTGGAAGATTTGTTTTACAAGGTAATCCCATTGTTTTTGTTTGTATTAAGAGTCGATGCGAATATGAAATTCGTTATTCTTTGACTGAGACTATATTTTGTTAATGAGTCGCTGTTATTTTTGATTTGTCAAGAAGATGTATAGTTATAGTCGTAGTTGATAAGAAATTATCACCTCCAGCTTTTTTTTTTTTTCTAATTTAAAAGGCGCATTTTGGCCCTTCTAATGTATCTAATGTACTAAAGGGTTCTTTGTTGGGATGATGTTATCTCTTTTGCGTGCATTTAATGGACTTTTGTTTTATTAAGTATAAGTGCTTTCTTTAATTTGACATTATGACAACGAAGGAGAGTTTTTTTTTTTCCGCCCCTTATTGTAAATTTTACTTTGCAGTATGGACGCATAGTGCATATCGACCTAAAGGTCCCTCCAAGGCCCCCCGGTTACGCGTTTGTTGAGGTTTGTCTTGAACAAACTAAGTTATTTTTGTGCGTCATTTATGTCCTCTTTTACTAGTGTTTGCTACAGTTTGAGGATGCTAGAGATGCTGAAGATGCGATACGTGGTCGTGATGGCTATGATTTTGATGGGCATCGTTTGCGGGTTAGCAACTTCTTTTCTTTTTTGGGTATTTATTTGTGTGGTAATTTTTAGCCTGAATCTAACGCTTCAACTTATTCTTTTACAGGTTGAACTTGCTCATGGTGGGCGTGGACATTCATCCTCTTCAGATCGTTATAGTAGTTACGGTGGTGGTCGGGGTGGACGTGGAGTATCGAGGCGCTCTGATTATCGTGGTTTGTATATTTCCTATAGAAATCATATACATTGTTATGGATACAATGGTTATTAAATTATTCACTTCCTGTTTGCAGTATTGGTCACTGGATTACCCTCGTCAGCTTCATGGCAGGATCTTAAGGTGGGAATTGGTATTTCTTTTTGTTTCTATTTTTGGTTGCAGCCCCCGCTCTCCACCTGTCTTTTTCCCCATTTCACTTCTTACTCTTTTTCATGCATATACGTGGTCCCTCTCTCACTCTCTCACTGCTTGTTTTAGTGGTTTCTTGATGGTGCTTCCACCTTAAGTGAATTAATGTATGGCATATCCTTGTTCAGGATCACATGCGGCGTGCTGGTGATGTTTGTTTCTCTCAAGTCTTCCGTGACGGTAGTGGTAAGATGCACAGAATAAAAAAAAATCAACGACTATAGTATTCTATAATTGTTCTTTAATTTGAAATAGTTGGCTAGTTGAAGGCTTATGTTCTGCAACTATAATCTCATTGTGTGACAAGCTTTGTTTTGTTTTACCATTTTTAGTTTCTAATTGGCACCATCAGGACCTGGTTTCTATGAGCTGGGGTGACATAAAATAAAACTGTTTGAGGTTCAGTTAGTTTTATCTTTTCTTGATCTTTATTTTTTGTTTATATATGTAGGCGGCACTACAGGAATCGTGGACTATACTAATCATGAGGACATGAAGTATGCGGTGAGTCAATGTTCTGTGGGCATATTGGCTATTATAAATGAATTTCGTGGGTTTTAGCAGATTGATGTGCCTGAACTGATGCATGTATCTGAAACTTCTGCAGATTAAAAAGCTTGACGATTCTGAGTTCCGGAATGCATTTTCTCGGGCATATGTTCGTGTATGAATCTTGAATATGTTTTTATGGTTTTGCAAAATGTGTTTCGTCTCTCTTTCTACCTAGCTTTATTTATTCTTTTGTCTCATTACAGGTGAAGGAATATGATTCAAAGCGGGACTCATCAAAGAGTCCTGTTCGTGGTCGATCTCACTCTAGAGATAGGAGTTACAGCCGCAGCCGAAGTTACAGTCGGAGCAGGAGCAGGAGGTATTGCTGTTTTTACTAAAAAAATTTACAAGTTTGTTGGAGGTATTTCTCTATTCTAATATTAGAAATGGAATGCAGCAAGTCTCCAAAAGCCAAATCTTCACGTCGCTCACCTGCTAAATTAGAATCAAGGTCCAGATCTCGCTCACGCTCAGCATCAAGGTCCCGCTCCCCATCAGGGTATGTGTAACAGTATTTGGTATTTTATCTTTTCTGTATATTAATTGTTTGGTATTTATAAAATGCTTGGTGCTTTATCTTCTCTGTTTCATTTGCTTCTATATTTCACTCCAGGGTAATGTTTCTTGGGGATATGTTGTCAATTCTTAGTGTAGTCGCTACTTCATGATTATGTTAGCGGCATTGGATTTTACTCGGAAGACTCTTGTTAGTTCGTTGGAGGCACATGTTTGAGTTCTAGCCTCAATTTATGTTGTCTTGATTTTTTTAATTTTCTTGTTCAGCAACTGGGATTGCGGAGAGAGAATATATTTGGTAGACGTGATTTTTTTTTTCCTGCTCTTTGTTGTGTGAAATTACCTCTTTTTGTTGTTCTAGATTTGGATTTATGCAGCGAACTGGGGATTGGATATTAGGATCTTGATTGGATTTGGTTCAATTGCTTGCAACTCTTTTGGTTGTGGAGGTATGCTGTTTCTTAGATAGGCAATTTAGCAGCCTTCATGGTTCCTATGTTCTAATGCTTTTAGCATTGCGAATGTCCATGGGTGCTAGATTGGGAACAAAGGAGGTCATGGATTGCGATAGTAGAGCTGGATAACTGTGTACTAAGTGCCATTGGGATTTGGAAGTCACCATCATGCAGTAGAGACATTTCCTTGTGATTTCCTGCTGCGACACTTGCCAAAGCTAATAGGGTGACACTTTCTGGATTCCCTGGATTACGGTGGTACAGTAGGGAAGAATGCTCCTCTCTTCCTCTCCTGTCCACAAGTGTCTTAAAAAAAATTGAAAAAAAAATCATGCTTCTTTGTTAAAATTTATTCTCTGTGATTTAGGACGTCTAGGTGGGAATAGATTTTCTTTTTGAACTGCTAAACTTTTATGTCTGTCTTTTTATCATATTGGTTCTGGTATCTCTGACGTGGAAGAGGCATCAAGGATCTTGGATCAAATTTGGTAAAAGGAACATGTGGAATTTAAATTGGTTGTTTCTGGAACTTTTGCAGATCCCGATCAAGATCTAGGTCTCCATTACCTGCAGTAAGTGATTTATTGTTTTGCTATTCAGAAAAAAACGTCATTCTTTTGGCTTCCCTTCTTGGGCTGCCGTTTTTTATTTTACATATCAATGTAAGGACTAGTTTTCTTTTCTAGTTGAGCAGCCAGCCAGTGTTTTATCTTTTTTATTATATAGTGATATCTTAGTAGCTTCTCTAGATTAAATTCATATCTATTTTTGGTATTTTTTTATGGTTTTTCCCCTACTTACCACAGTGGCATTATTATATACCAGAAACATACAAGTAAAAGCCCTAAAAAGCGCAGCGTCAGCAAAAGTCCTAGCAGGAGCAGGAGCAGGAGCAAGAGCTTATCCCGGTCTCATTCTTGAGCTTTGCATTCTTTCCAGATTATTGTCTAGTTGTTTTTGTCCATATATTGGCATATTCTATATATTAATGTTGCTTTTTTTCCTTTTTTTTTTTTTTTTTTGGTTGCTAATTTATATGTTTCATTGCCTTCTTTCCTGATTACATTTTTGTTTGACAGGTGAGTGAAATCTTATCGTGGCTTACCTCCAATTCTGAAGCTTTCTTTGGCAAGCTATCAGTGGCTAAGAAGTTCAACTGGGGAGCCATTTAATATCAGACTTGTTAGGATTAAGTGTTTGTGGATGGATTTTAAACGTCAATTAGTTCCCTTTTAATTTTCTTGGGATTCTTGATGAACTTAAACATATAAAGTTTACTCTATTTGCACTATGAAATATGAATTATGATTTGCGTTTACAATCGATGAAGGTTTTATTTTTTTATTTTTTTATTTTTCTTTTAACCATTTTATAACATCAAAACGTTGGATACACAAATCCAATACCTTTTCTCAGTCAACATTTGATTGACCTTAAAATTTTCAAAATACCCTTGAAAAGAAAATTTGGGGACTGACAAGACTACTTGGTTTCTGGTAAGCTAATTAGTAAGGACAAGCCTTTGGTGTTTTTTGGTAAAGGATTGGAGAGTCGTGCTGAATCTATGGCTGATTTCCTTGGCACGAGTCGTGGTCAGCTGCCTTTTTCCTATCTTGGACTGCCTATTTTTAGAGGTATATTGAAAAATTCTCATCTTAGACCTATTGTTGATAAGCTTGTTGCCAAGCTTTCTTCTTGAAAGGGAAAACTTCTTTTGCCGGTAGAGTTGAGCTTGTAAGGAGTTCAATTTCTAGTATGCTTGTTCATTCTTTTTCGATTTATAAATGGCCATTTTCTCTTATAGCTATGTTGGAACTTGGAATGAAAAATTTTATATGGACAGGAGATGTGGATAAAAAAAGCTTGTTTCTGTGGTTTGGAAAAGTGTCTGTTTTCCTTTTGAGGAGGGGGTTTGGGAGTCAGAAATCTGAGGACTTAATAATTTGTCCCTTCTTAAGAAGCTTGCTTGGAATATGATTCATGAAGATGGAGATGGATATGCTTTTTTAAGATGTAGACATTTTAGACAGATTGGAGCCATATTTTTTCTATCCCAAGTCTTTTTTGGCCAGGTATAAGGAGCTTGGTTGGTTCTCTTATTTTGACTCTCGGCGGCTCATTGGTAGATCTATGCTTTCTTTTTGGTTTAATAATTGGTGTGGTGTTGTTCTAGCTGATGCTGTGAGAATTCTAGCACATCTTTAAGGCTTCTCTTAAGGCCGTGGTGAGTCATTTCGTGGTGGATGCTAGGTGGAATATTCCTGATTTATTTCGTGGTGGATGCTAGGTGGAATATTCCTGATTTTTTCAAGGTTGCTTATCCGGATTTTTGGAGTATGATTGATAAGGCTGTTATTCTCATTGATTCGGAGGATGATCTGATTTGGTCTCGTTCTAGGTCCGGTGGTTGTTATGCTAAGAATGCATATGAAGTTTCTTGTGCTAGGGTTACTCCCACTAGTTGGGGTTGTAAAATAGGGCACATTTTATTCTCTATATTTTTCTTTTCTTGTTTGGAGGCTATTTTATGAAAAGCTTTCTGTGGACGTCACTCTCGAGATTCTTGGTATGCAGCTTGTTTCCTCTTGTAGTTTTTGGGGGAGCACTGAAGAATCTGTTACCCATCTCTTATTGGAATGTCCCTACTCTTGGTCTTTGGGACTGGATTATGTTGCTTTTTCACCGTAAAGTTTCTTGTAATTGTAGCATTGGTGATTTTTGGTATCCTGTCTTTAGAGTTAATTTTAGTCCTATGATCAAAAATCTTTGGATACTTGGTTTTAAGGCGAGTTGTTGGTTTATTTGGGATCATATGACCAAGGTGCGTTTGAAGGAGCTAGTTTGCTGCTTTGCACATACATATTTAGTTACCATCATGTCCAAGATGTTCAAGTTGGGTTATTTGTACAGCTCTGCTTCCGAGCTTCGTATTTTTAACAAGTTACGTATTTTTGTCATAATGTGCCTAGAAGTCCTAAAATTATTCTTGGATTCTTTCTCCTGGGTGGGTGAAAGTTAACACTAATAGTTCGGTTAAAGGAGGTCCTGGCCCAATTGTTTGTGGGGGTATTTTCAGAAATGCTAGGGGGTATGTTTGTGGTTGTTTCAGTATCTTTCTTTTGGAAGGTTTTGCTTTAGAAACTGAATTATGGTTCGTGTTTAATGCCGTTTCTATTACTTATAAGAATGGCTTGAGAGTGATTCTTCTTTAATCATTTCTCTTTTGATTTCTAAGTCATTGCAGGTTCCTTGGCGATTTTGTAATAACTCAAGGGTACTTTATTTGTCCATGAAGATAGATTTTCGTTTTTTTTATATGTATCGTGAAGTTAATTGACGTGTTGAGCTAATTTTGAGATTATTAATTGTAATAGGATGTGGTATTCTCATTCACAGTCCTTAAGTTTTATGTGTACATGGATTATATATAGGTTTTCTATTTTACTTGTTTTTTTAAGTGATTCTAGTTTGTTATTTTTCTTTTCACTAATAATATGAGTCTTAATTGAGGCGGTATTCATTCAAAATTTTTTTTGAGAAATGAGAAAAAATTGTTTATTTATCCTTTTATTTTATTTTTTAAGTGTATTTTGGATATTTTTAATGTCAAATTCAAGTGTTAATCAAGAACAATGTGTTTAATCAAGAACAGTGTGTGTGTGTGTGTGTGTGTGTGTATATATATATATATATATATATATATATTTTGTTGAGGAAAGAAGAATGTATAAATTTATGTATTAAATGTGATCAATAATTTGATGGTATTAAAATATGGAATTGACTCTTGTGTCTCCTTATTCTCGTTTTTTTTTTTTTTTTATGTATCTCTAATGGTATTATGACACGCTAATTAAATTTTCTTCTCACATTAATTAAAAAGTCGTGACGGTTAAAATAATTTTAATTAACGTGATATGATGTTATTGAGAGGATAAAAAAAATACATACTAACGGGACATATGAGTTCAATCTTAAAAATGTAAGGTGTACTTTTTAGATGAATGTAATATAAAAAGGTTAATGTACTTTGTTAATATGCTCCTCATGGGAATCTTAGGTTGCCATATCTTTAAACCACCTAAAGTGGACTTCAGAATAAGAAACCATCCAAACATCAGCAATATTGCTTTTACTTGAGCGTTGAAATGCAACCTTATGAGTCACTCTATTACCCAAGTAATTTCTGATCTCACGTAAAGCCAGATGTTATTTAAAAAAAAAAAAAAACCCCGAGTTATCCCTAGAAAGCATATAATCTGTTTCTTTTCCGAAACGCGATCAAACCTTTCATATGGTGAATGCCAACAAGAAATGAGATATGTTTTCCCTGAAAAATAAAATGGAAATGCAAAGGTCTATGACTTCTGCTCTAATGGGAAATATAAAGATTCATGTTTTTTTTTTTTAAACACTATATATGATTTCTGCTCTAGTTTTTCCTTTTTATATATTATATTAAGTATGAAAGAGGGCAAAAAACCCGAAAGAGTGAGTTAAAAAGAGCATATTCCCTAATTTTCTCAAATAAAATGCTGCCATTCAATTCAGAAAATGTCTCAATCTGCCTTGTTGTCAAGTTTGGTGGGCAATTTATGTGGATCCTATTTAACACACTTGTAGTTGTCAACAAGCTCAAATATCTTGGGGATGAAGAGAGAGAGAGAGAGACGTAGCCAAAATTGAAAGAAAGGACAATGATTATCCCAAAGGGACAGAGGCGATAAGAGATGCCAATGAATCGCCGACATCAACTAGTGATGTCCAACTGATTGTGACTCCTTTGTGTGGCCATAATATCGTTTAAGGCCGCTCCTTATGCATCTAGGGAAAAAGATTACCTGTCTTCTTGCCTTGTGCCTTGTGGTCTCAATTAAAACCGCTGGATTTCGATATTTGGGGTCGCAAAATCACTCTTGATGCAGTGTTATTTTTAGTGTTGAACTTGATATTTAGTTATTATTAGTTGATGTGTCGATTTTTTCATTTGATAATTATAGCATGTTATTTTGTTAATTTTAAATTATTTTAAAATTCAAAATTATTTTTACAGCTTGAAAGCTTAAAAAATCATGACAAAACATAGATATAAACTTGAAATAATAATAAAATAAAACATATCAAATATGTTTTTTCATATTTTTATTGTGTCAAATATAACATTTGCATGAAAGAGATGTCAAAACCCTAGTTTTGGAATAGAGAGGAAATGAGAGAGAGAAAAGAAGTCTGAGTGTTGCTCAGAGTTCCGGCACTGCCTCAGGGCGTGTCGCCAGACTCTAACCTTGAAAATTGGTCGTTGGGCTCGTCTCGTGGAGGACTCTTCTATTGTGTGGGTAATGTGTTGTGGGATGGCTTGATTAGGGTAGAGTAGACATGGTTTGGAAGTTGAAAACCAGATGTTGAGGAGGTGTTTTCCAAGACCCGCAATGTTAGGTGAGTCCTTTTTGGAGGCTCTTTCCTGGCGGTGGTATGCTTCCTTTGGTAAGAGTGGTGTCATCTTTAGAGGATGGCAGCATGGCGAGTGTTCCCTGTTGTTTAACGGTCTCTATTCGACTACGCTGCTTATCTTTCAAAGCCTTCTTCCTTCCACATAGTCCTCTCACCGGCTGCGCCATCATCGGAGGCTTGCGCCATCATCGGAGGCTTGCGCCAGTGATGTTTTGGGTTTTCTTTTTGCTTTGGTGTGTGATTTAGTTTATAATAAAGGAGTGGCAACATTGGTTTCGCCTTTTTTTGAGTGTTGTTTTGTAATAACGGATGTGGTTTTCTCACCTTATAGTTTAGTTTGTGTGTCTTATTTGATTGAGTTAATTTTTGACGGTGTATGTGACGATGTTCATTTAGAGATCTTTATATGCCATGTTGATTATGTCCCCTTTCATTGGGGTTTAGTCCGAGTCTTTAGAATGTCAATAAACAGTTGAGGTCATCTCTAAATAACCGAAAATTACAATATAGACATTAAATTGACAGGAAAAAAGATTACACAAATTGGGAAAGTCTGAATAAAACGGGAAAAAATAAAGAGGAATTAGGTTAACGAAATCAATCAATCTTTTCCGGTTCCGGCATCAAAGAGTAGAGAATTCTTACGGTATTCACGAATATGAAAAGAATCATAGAATTTACAAACAAACTAACAAAATAAGAACAGAAAAAGAATGAAAAATTCACAAAGAACAATGAAAATTTAGCCAATGCACATTACAACCATGGACAATTAAATTACAACAGAGAAATTCAAATTATTCGAAAATAAATCATTTTGTAGAGTTCAAAGAAACGCTGAACAAAGAAAAAAAAGTGGAAAAAGAAGAAGAATCAGATGAACGAAGATCAATTATATCTCCACCATAATCACAATTGAAATTGATCAGGAATATCGCAAAGATTGAAGAATTATGAAAGGTTGTGAGATTTAGAAAATTATGAGAAAAGAAAATAGGAAGGAAATAATAGTGACGTTGGGGTGTATTCTTTCCTATTTATTTTTCAGCTTGTCCATTTTAGTTATTTTACTAATTTAGAGGTGCATTTATACTTTTTTGGAATGTGAATATTGTGACGTCTCCCGCCTTAGCAGCGGTCGCCAACCTTAAACTACTACTATTAGGCATAGTTATAGACTAATATATTACTTGTTATTAGACTATCGCCTCTTTAATTTACATTTCTGTACGAGTGTATATTTTTTTTCTTTAACCCTCAAATTCTTAACATGTTCTTAGCATGTTCTTTTGTTATACAACAACTTATCCTTGCTAATACTTTAAGAAATCGGATATGGAACAGGTCCCCGAAACTTATCTTAACTTATTACAGTCTATTGTTCTTTACTAAGACAATGACCGTAACATCTTTTCCTTAAAACTGAAACATATAAACTTGATTCTATATTACATTACTCTGCAGTGGAATTTAATTTCTAAGCGAGCATAGTCGAAACCATTCTCGTGTACCCATGACATTTCCGCCACCCTTGCCTCTGCCGGTCCATCAAGCAAAATCACTTTATGGTTGGCTGCTTACCTTTGTTACCTGCACACGAGTAAACTGATGAGCTAACGCTTAGCAAGTATAAATATGCACACATCATAAACTAGAAAAGAATTTCATTAAGAGTTATGATGCAAATATGCTCATGTGAAACATGCTTTCTGTCTTTTTGTTCTTACTACTGTGGGCCTGGGCCCCTGCTTACTGTCTTGTTACCGTGGGCCTTGATATAGTCGAAATCTCTACTCTTTGAGATTTCCTCCCTTGGGAGGCCGACGACCCGTCAGTCTCTTTACATTACTGAACTTTGAGTTTTTCATTTCAAAGTGTTAAAAACTTTACTGAATGATATGCAACATTTCTCTACGTGCATATGCTAACATAAAATGCATAATACTACTTGCATACTTTAACTGTGCATAAGGGTAGTCATATGTCGCCCTTCTGCAATCTAGGGCACTGAGCCCTCCAAACACGTATAATCACATATAATCACATAGACTTAGGAACATAAGTAAATTCATAGTTCTAAGTTTAACTATAGCTTACTTGAATCCAGACAAACATATATGTCTATACTTCCAAATAATCCGCTAGGATTCCCGCTTGCTAGAAGTTCTTTCTTGTTGTGTCGACTCTCGTGCCAAAACCTGTTTCATGGAAATAGGTATAAATTTCCTATTCCAAATCACAATTCTTCATACTTAGATTCTTAAATCTAATTTCAAACTCGTTTCTGAACCCTTTTTCCCCTCTAAGCCGAATCCTAGTTTAAGTGGTAAATTACACATATTTGTGTATCTTGGTTTCTGAATCTTAATCTGTTCATTTCTGAGCTTTAAAAATGTTATTCATTCTCTAGAATCAATTCCTAACTCATTGCTTACTAACTAACTTTTAGGAAATTTTGGCAGAGTTTCGCCTTATTTTTCTCGTTTCCCGAGTTTTCAATAACTCGTTCTACTTCTGATTTCGGTACCTGGAGTCAAGATTTACATTCCTGAACACAGATTCTAACATAAAATTGAACAAAACATATGTTCTTTCTTAATCTAGGCTCACGGATTTTCAATAGAAATCCACCAAAACTTCATTCAATCGTCTTAATACTTACACAGTTAAACTCTTATTACAATGCTTTATAAAACCTCAGTTTCAATTTTTACTTTAACGGAAGTTTTTCTGAGATGGGTTACTATTCATCCAAATCAAGAAAACATAGAATTCTTATGAAAACTTTGAAATCTTACCTCCAGAAGTTGAGGTTTTTTTGCTAGAACGCCTCAGGTTACGTTTCTACCAGACTGAACGAAAGAAATCTCAATGAAAATGCTTGATTTTCCTTCCTCTGTCTCTCTCTAGCAACTCTCTTTTTTTTTTTCTTTCTTCGTAACTTCCTCACGTCTCTCTCTCTTTTTTTTTTCCTCTACTATACTTCACGTGAAGTATGTAATAACCTTTTCTTTTATTTTTCCACGTGAGTCATCCGTCATGCCGTGAGTCATCCTTCACTTAAGCTTATGTAATGACAAATGGTTTTTTTGCATGTGAGATTCCACCTCACGGTAACTATCATTTTCACTTTTTTTTTTACACGTACTTAGATAATCTAATATATATATACTATAATTTAATATATATATATTATAACTTTGTTCAAACTACTTTTATTCTTTACTATATCCAAGATACGTGTTAGCAAATGAGTGAGTTCTATACTCTTTAAATTTTTCTTGTCGAGACCTAACTCTCTGTTTCTCAAAACGAGTCTCTTTCCGGTACTAATAATTTCACAATCAGTACAGGTTCTATACTAATTTTCTGGACTGTCGAGTACCCTGGGACAAACTTCTCATGTTCAACCCAATTCTCTTGGGTATCTCAATAGTTAATTTCTTTTTCTGAAATTTTCATTTTAATCGATTCAGAATTGTCCAAAACGCGTACCCTCGCGGTACTCATTTTTTTAGCAGTTTCACACTTTAACTGGCTCGGAAAAATTCTGTTTCAGGAACCTTTATTATTTTCCTTACTTCTAATATTTCTACTCTTTTTCTAACTAGTCATTTGGTCACATACCAAATATTTTAGTTTTTCATAACTAAAATATACCCGCTCAAATTTTTAACTTTTAACTAATATTTTACTATTCATAACTGATATTTACGAATTTTCTTTGTAAAAATATTTGTATTATAACTTTACATATTTCAGAAAATTTTACCCCGTACATAAAGTTTCTACGCAACATTTTCTTAATTACATCAAAATTCTACTACTTACTATTCCGAAAAGGATTTCGGTCAAATACCGGACTGTCTGGATTAGACCTAAATCTTTCTCGGTCATTACATTCACCCCTCCTTAGGAAATTTTCATCTAAAAAATTAGAACAAGTGGGGGTATTTCTGTCTAATTTCTTCTTCTACTTCCCAAGTGGCTTCTACAACACTGATTTTTACCATTGGGATACTACGACTTCTGAGTTTCTTTTCCTCTCTTGCCAAAATCTGAATTGGTTGCTCCTCATAGGACAAATCTTCGTGAACCTGAATAGGTTCATACTGTAACACGTGCGATGGATCCGAGATATACTTCCAGAGCATTGGTACATGAAACACACTATGCACTGAAGCCAAATCTGGCGGTAGAGCTAGTAGGTAAGCTACCTTTCCTATTCTTTCAATGATCTCGAAAGGTCCTATGTACCGTGGGCTCAGCTTGCCTTTCTTCACAAAACGCATCACACCCTTCATCGGTGCAACCTTCAGGAATACGGAGTCTCCTACCGAAAATTCCAAGGGTCTCCGGCGTTTATCTGCATAACTTTTCTGCCGGCTCTGAGCCATCTCTAATCTTCTGCGGATCTTTTGCACTGTCTCAATGGCCTCTAGAACGAATTCTGTCTTGGGAAGCTGCTTTTCCCGAGTGTCATACCAATGAACTGGGGATCTACATTTCCTTCCGTAAAGTGCTTCAACGGAGCCATGCCGATGGAAGCTTGATAACTGTTATTATACGAGAATTCGATCAATGGCAACTTCATACTCCATGCGCCCTTGAAATTTACAGCGCAAGCGCAAAGCATATCCTCTAGGGTCTGAATTGTTCTATCTGATTGTCCATCTGTCTGGAGATGAAACACTGTGCTATAGCGTAATTCTGACCCCATCGCTTCCTGAACACTTCTCCAAAAATTGGAGGTAAATCAGCTGTCTCTGTCCGATACTATACTAACTGGTACTTCATGTAACTTTACTACCTTAGCCACATATAACTCGGCTAATTTCTCTAAGGAGTACGTTATCTTGATCGGGATGAAATGCGCTGATTTCGTTAACCGATCCACTATTACCCAAATGGCATCATATCCTTCACTCGTTCTCGGAAGTCCGGTCACAAAATCCATGGTTAAGTGTTCCCACTTCCATTCTGGGATCTCTAGTGGCTGTAAGCTTCCAGCTGGTATCTGATGTTCTGCTTTGACCTTCTGGCATGTCAAGCAATGACTAACATAGTCAACTATGTCGTTCTTCATTCGCCTCCACCAAAAATGTTGTTTCAAGTCTTGATACATCTTGGTGGCACCTGGGTGTACGGAATATGGCGTGCTGTGTGCTTCTGCTAAGATCTGCTTCTTGATCCCTTCTTGATCTAGTACATAAATTCTTCTTTGGTACAGGAGAATTCCATCTTCTAAAAGATTGAAGTTTGTCTTTGCATTTTCTACCATCTCCTTCCTGTATCTATCCATAATTGGATCACTCTTTTGAGCTTTTCGTATCTCGTCTTGTAGCACGGGCTGCAGTCTCAGAGAAGCTAACTTACTGGAGATTAATTCAAGATCTAGAAGATTAATCTCCTGTCGAAGTTACTTCGGCAACAATTCGGTCTCCACTGGAGTCCGCATTGCTGGATTTCTACTCAAAGCGTTTGCTACACGATTGACTTTACCTGGAAGATAAAGGATTTCACAATCATAGTCCTTCACGAGTTCAAGCCATCGCCTCTACCTCATATTAAGCTCCTTCTGTGTGAAGAAGTACTTTAGACTCTGGTGGTCCGTATAAATTTGGCATTGAGCTCCATACAAATAATGCCGCCATAACTTGAGCGCAAAGACTACCGCGGCTAACTTGAGATCATGCGTTGGGTAATTACGCTCGTGATCCTTCAGTTGTCGAGATGCATAAGCAATGACCTTGCCATTTTGCATCAACACGGCTCCTAGTCCTGTTTTTGAGGCATCACTGTAGATGTCAAATTTTTCTCCCTCTTCTGGAATCATGAGTACTGGAGCGCTAGTTAATCTTCTTTTGATCTCCCTAAAACTCTGTTCACATTTATTTGTCCACTCATACTTCTTATCTTTCCTGGTTAATGTGGTGAGAGGGGCTGCAAGACGAGCAAATCCCTCTACAAACCTCCTGTAATACCCTGCCAATCCTAAGAAACTTCAAATTTCCGTAACACTCTTCAGAATTGGCCACTTCTCAACCACTTCAACCTTTGTTGGATCCACGGTGATTCCTTCCTTAGATATCACATGATCGAGGAATTGGACTTTATCTAACCAAAACTCACACTTAGAAAACTTCGCATACAGCTGATGTTTCCTTAACGTGTGCAACGTAATCCTCAAATGCTCTGCAGGCTCTTATGGACCTCGAGAGTATATAAGGATGTCATCGATGAACACAATAACAAACTTATCCAAGTATGCTCTAAAAACTCTGTTCATAAGGTCCATAAACGCTGCTGGGGCATTTGTAAGTCCAAATGGCATTACTAGGAATTCGTAGTGTCCATACCGAGTTCTAAATGCCGTCCTAAAATGACTTCTTCTCTAATCTTAAGTTGATGATACCCCGATCGAAGATTGATCTTCGAAAATGTGGTAGCTCCCTTCAACTGGTCGAACAAGTCATCAATTCGTGGCAGTGGATACTTGTTCTTGATGGTGACTTTGTTGAGCTCTCTATAGTCTATGCACATCCGAAGCGTGCCATCCTTCTTTTTAACAAAGACAACCGGAGCTCCCGATGGCGAGAAACTCAGTCTGATAAAGCCTTTATCTAGTAACTCATGAAGTTGAATCCGCAGCTCTTTTAGTTCTGCTGGAGCCATCCTATACGGTGCTTTGGATATTGGTGCGGTGCTTGGGAGAAGCTCTATCTCAAAAGCGATTTCCCGATCTGGAGGAAGTCTAGGTAGTTCCTCTAGAAAGACGTCTAGGAACTCCTTTACTATGGGAACGTCTTTTGGCTGAAGCGTCCCTTCCTGGTTTCTATCCACCACATACGCCAAATATCTGGTGCATCCGCTGGACATCAATCGTCGGGCTTCTAGGGAACTAATAATGCGGTTGGGTGTCCCTGATGTGGAACCCATATACTTAAACATATGTTCTCATTCTGACTGAAAAACTACTTTTTTCCTTCTACAGTCTATTGTAGCATTATACTTTCGTAGAAAATCCATTCCTAGGATCACATCATAATCTACTAAATCCAGTATAACTAGGTTTGCACTTAGTTCTCTTCCTACTATCTCTACTGGTACATGACCTAACCAGTGACTAGACAACAACACATCACCTGATGGTAGTGCTGTTTTAAAGTCTTGGCCTATCCTCTCTTGAGGATGTAGTATTCGTTTAACAAGCTCTACTGATGCAAATGTATGTGTGGCTCCTGAATCAAAAAATGCTCGTGCAGGAACATGGGTAAGAGTAAGCTGACCTGTCACTACATTGGACGTGCTTGCCTCAGCTTCCTCCTTGGTGTATGTCATTAGTTGAGCATTGGTTTGTGGAGAAGCTTCTGATCTGTTCGGCTGAGGGTTTGGGAATACCCTCTGCGCTTGCATGGCATGAAATTGTGGAACTTGTGGCCTTTGTGGTGTCGTTCTAGGAGATCTTACTTTGAATGGACACTGCTTTGCATAATGCCCCTTGTGTCAACACGTATAGCACACATCCGTGCCGGCTTTACATTCTCCAGAGTGTTTCCTTCCACACGTCTGGCAAACAGGAACACTGGGACTGGTATACTAAGCCTGCTTCTGTTGAAAATTTTGCTGACTCTGATTGTGATTTTCGCTAAAATTACTCTTTCTCTTATTGGAGTTTTGTTGGCTCCCCTGTCCAAGTTTTGATCCCTGGTCACTCCGGTTTCCCTGACTTTGCGGATTAGCACCGGGGCTTTGCTTAGTAGGTGTCTGTTCCTTCTCTCTTTGCTTCTTTTTATCATCCCACATTTTAGCCCGTTCCTCTCTAGATTTGGCAATATTATGCTCCGTACGTATTGCATGGTTCAACAAATTGGCTACCGTGGTTGGTGGATACTCCCTACTTTCCACAACGGTGGCTATATCTCATCGGAGCATATTAACCATCCTCCTAACCTTTTCTTC